ATAGTTCTGGGGTTCTCCTCTCTGAAAATTGGTTTGCTTCAGGGTTCCCTCAGCAAAACGGAGCAGCTTAAACATCCCATTTCCAGTGACACAAACCTGAGTGTTATCCTGGGGATTGAAGCTCACCTGTAAAATGTGAAAGAAGAAAAGAAAAAGATTTATAAAACTAATCCTGATGGAATTATTTCTCATTTTACTAATTAATATTTATTTTAGGTAGCTCAGAGTATCCTTTAAACATGACCAAATCATACGATTTTGACACCCTATTTGACAAGAGCACAGATCCATATCCATTATATTTGTAGGGTTCATTAGTCGTAATGTAGGAAACCTACAAAAGTCACCTTACAAAGGCCAAAAAGCAAGATGAGTGGGTCTTAACAATGGCCAAGCTCTGTGCCAAAAAAGTGGAATGAAGGCTCAACTGGAAACACAGAAAAATGAGGATCTGGCAGGTTTATGTGTCCTGTCCAGGGGGAAGAAACCTCATGTCAGGGACTGTTTCGTGGTCTCCTACCAACTGAGCTTCTTTATCGGTACCCTCATCCCAATCTACAGGAACCAGCAGTCAACCTGTCAACCCCACTAGAAGGTGAGCAACCTGAGGGGCTGTGGCTTTTTCATCTCTGTATTCCCAGTGCTGGCTTCACAGTGGGCATCCAATAAGTGTTTACTGAATCGATTTGAGAGGAGGCGCTCTCTGCTCTGAACAGGGATGCTGTATCAGGCCTCATCATGGACTGGATGAAATACTTTTCTGGCTCTACCTGCCTTTGGTCTGATTCTGTGATCACCAAGCAACTTCTGATTATTAATTATTAATTTCATCTCCCAAGTTCTCTATGACTAGGGAGGAAATAACACTGGATAAACAATGTGAGTGTTCTAGTTGTGACATGCTGGTTTACACATCAGCCTCTTGGGAGATTAACTGAGTCTATGCCTGAGAAGCTGACTGGCTATTATCTCTGAACATGAACAGAACTCGGTTCTTGAGCTTGTAAAACAGAGTGCTAGACCTTAGACTAGGTTGGCTGCACCAAGACAACGGGTCTGTGGGACCCACTCCCTAAGAGTCAACCGGCCTCCTAATTGGTCCTCTTCATTTGCCCTCAAACCACAATAGAAAATTCTGTTTCCCACATAACTGTAATTTCAATGACAGCTTCCTAAAGATCTACCACTTGACATTACATTCCCAAAAATCTTCCCACCGCCCAGCAATGCTGCTGGGAAGAGGTTAGGACCAGGAAGAGAGAGTGAGTTTGAACAGTCCACCTTTGGGCTTGACCTGTGACCAGAAAGCAGTTCTGAGCCAGAGAAAAGACAGACAGACACTGGAGTCAGGGACTCCTGGCCCTGCTATTCACCACCTCTGTGATCTCGGGTGAGTGACTCAACCTCTTGGAGGCACAGTTTCCTTATCTGTAAAATAGGGATAACAATTAAGCATACCATATACGGTTGCTGTGAGACTAAATTTAAAAATGCATGTTAAGAAATTAGCACTGTTCCCAGAACACAGAAAGCATTCAATAAAAGAGAGCTCTTACTGTTTTTTCATAATTTGCACAATACTTATTATGCTGGGTGGTACCTGGTAGATGGAGTTGTTCTGAGAGTCGGTTCTAACAATGGCCATTACTTTCTGTTTTTCCCACAGCCAATAGACAAGGTTTGACTCTGGAGGTGATGTCTGAGTCAACAGGTATTTGGAGTCTGGAGAAAAAGCCATGCTAACAAATTTCTGAACTGGGAAGTCAAAATTATTAAGGATTTTGCGCTTCCGGCAAGGGATGGATGACAGTTCATAAATGGTGATGACAGGTTTTTCTTGCACAGTCTCGGAGACGGCAAGGTATCGCCGGTTGGGACTGATGGACAACGCCAACATGCCCTGACTCTTGTCTGAGCCTGCAAACAGAGGTAAAAAGGGATAATGAGGGTAGATTATGCTTTCACCAAGATCCAACATGATCCAGGCACAGTGATGGGCACTGCTGATGCAAAAGGAGACAAGTGTCAATCCTTGCAGTCCCTTGGTGCAACTATGTCTGGGGTATTATGAAAATGACTAGGACGAGAACCTTACTGAGGTGGAGGTGGAAGGAGAAGTCAGGGAATGATTCCTGAAGGAGGACAAAGTTGGACGGAGGGTCAGCAGGTGGTAGGAAGAGCAAAGGTGTGGATGTGACAAAGGGTACAGTACGGTGGGAGAACTGCAAACAGTGGGATATTCCTGGAGCATCGCATGTGAGCCAGGGGTGACCAAAGATGGGTCTAGAGGGGTGGAATAGGGTCAGATCATAGGAACCTTTATGCCCTGAGCAACTGGTACTCAATACTCTTGTCTACTTTTGAGGCTGGGATGCTAATTACTGGATTCCTCAGCCTCCCTTGCAGTTAGGTGATCTGTGTGACATTGCGCCCATGAGACAAGTGCAGAAGTCTGCTGGACTGGCTTTACTGTAAAGCTTGTGCTTTCTTGAAAACCAGGGATGGATGCATTCTACTCCTCTTTTCATGGAATATAGAGGTGATATCTGGAGATACAACAGTCATCTTGCAAGCATGAGGTAACAAGCATAAGAATGAAAGGCCCGCTCCTCTAGAAAGCAGAGCCTGAGGAAAAGATCACGGTGCAAATACTTTATTTGGGAAATGCAATCAGAGCTGCATTATGATTTTCATGGGCCCCAGGTACTTTTGCTTTCATGGGCTCCCTCCTCCATTAAAAAATGTTGAAAATGATATTTTGTGACTGCATTGGTATAAAAAGGAATATAATCCAGGCTGGATTCATTATTATTTAGTCCTTATTATTATATTCATTTTTTTCCTGATTTTAAAATACATTAAAATTAAAACATTTTCTTGGTCCCAAAAAGTATCATGGGCCCTAGACTCTGTGCCTACTATGCCTCATGGATAAATCCTCTATCTCAGTTAACAGTAATCCCATCCTTCCAGTTGCTCAGGCCACAAACCCTGCTGCTGCTTTTTCTCTTCCACCCCACATCAGGTCCAAGAGGAAATCTGTCACCACCACTTTCAAAATACATCCAGGATTTGATCTTTTCTCACCATCCCTCTTGCCTGCAACCTGCTCCAGGCCACCATTTCTCTCACCTGGATTACGCAATAGTCTCTCAACTGGTCTCCTGCTTCCTCTTTCATCCCTCCTTAAATCCATTCTCTATACAAAAGCCAGGATGAACTTGTTGAGTGTAAGTCAGATCATGTCCCTCTGCTCAGAATCCATCCCCAGTTTCACTTCACTCAGAGTAAGAGCCTTGGACCTACAAAGCCCTACGTGATGTTGCTCCCCATCACTTCTCTGCCTCACCTCTTGCGCTCCACTCCTCCATTCACTCCACTCCAGCCACACTGGCCTCCTTGCTATTCCCTAATGCACTAAGCACCATTCTAACTCAGAGCCGCAAAGGTGAAAGGCAAAAGTATGAAGTAAAAAAGAGATAATATAGGAGAATTTATTAATAATCTTTGAGTAGGGAACAACTCTCACGCACTCCTGGTGGGAGCGTACATTGGTACTACCACATCACCCAGTAATCTGAGTCCTGGCTGTGTGAGCTGGAGAATCTGCACGCATGGACAAGCATATATGAATGCAAGAATGTTTATAGTGGCATGGTCTGTAACAGCAAAAAAAACTGTTGTTTCCCAAATGTCCATCAACACTAGAACGGATAGATATATTTGGGATATTTGATTCATAGGATGGAACACCATTGAGCAAGAAAATGCATGTCATATGTATCAAGATGCATGTAATATGTATCAAGATGCACGTAATCTCAAAAACATGATGTTTAACAAAAGAAGCAAGTCGCAGAATAGATATACTATGATTCCATTTATATAAAGTTAGAATATAGCAAAAACAAAACTATATCTTACATGAGGTTACACCTATATGTGGTAAAACTATACGCAACAAAGGGTGGAAAAAGAGAATAAGCGATTAAGTTGTGAAAATCATATATATCATCAAAAGGACCAGTGTGAAGAAAAAAATTTACATTATACACATGGTTACTTGTGACTTGGGGTAAAATCTCCAGTCTTTCATCAAACATGAATTCAAAAGGTGCTGTAACGAAGGTGGTGTACTCAGGAACACTGTATCAGACAACTCAAAAAGTGGCCCCGGCGATGGCAGAGACAACGATACTGAAGATGCATGAAAAAAAACTCTTCAAAATATTTCTTTTCACTAAATCACAGTGAACAAAAGCACTTTTAAATTAACACTATTTTACATGTTAACTATGTATGTGTAATTGATTAATCTATATGTTAAATAATGCAAGTAGACATGTATTTCTTCTACATTTATAAAACTATACACATACTCAAGTTGGCCAAAAAATTTTCCTTTCAATTGTCGTATTGGGACTATGGGATTATATCTGGCACATACTGTTAATGTACATCTGGATGGAAAGGGTTTTACCTGGAATGAATCTTTGCCACTTCTGATCCACATTGTATTTCACACAGTGATTTCCTGAAGGAAATATAATGATCTGTTCATCGAAGAAGAAGACATTATTGGCCACGTGGGATCGAAGACCAAAAACATGCAGCGACTGAGCTACCACGGTCGACATGGTCCACGGTCAAAGTGTTCTGCTGAAAACGGAGCGCGGCTGGCGAGAGTGAAGCCCATCGCCCCGCCCCAGGACACGCCCATGACCCCGCCCCAGGATCAACCGCCCCGCCCCCCAGGACACGCCCCCTGATCCCCGCCCCGGAGTACCCCGCCCCCCAGGACACGCCCCTGACCCCGCCGCCGGAGCAACCGCCCCGCCCCCATGACACGCCCCTGAGCCCGCGACACCCTATCTCTCCCGTTCTCGCTCCTCTCCTTTCCTTCGCTCCCTCGCGGCTTCCTGCCCTTCCGGACGACCCCCAGGTACTCCCTCCCACCTTTCGCCTCTTCTCTCCGGGTCTCCAGACCACGCACGTACCCTGCGGCACTACCACTACGATCCCAAGCCGCCCCGGCACTTTCAAACGCCGGAGCGGTTCCTATAGCAACTACAAACCGGAAGTGTGGTTCCGCGGCCGGAAGCGGAAGTTCCCATCGGAAAGTTCAGCAGCCGGGTTGAGGCGCTGCAACTGGGGCAGTTCGAGTCCACGTGGAGCCGAAGCGGGAGATTGGGGAGCTGAAGGCAGGTCGCGGCGGCGAGAGGCGCCCTTTTCCAGCCCCGCGGGCCTCGGGCCATCCCGCTCCCTCGGGTAGGTGTCGGACGTGCGCGCCGCGAGATGGACACGCCGCCGCTCTCGGGTTCGGACTCGGATTCTGATGATTCTGTTGTCACAGACAGGGAGGTCAGTGTCAGCTGAGCTCGCGGGCCGGGCGCCGGAGAGGGCTCCTTACAGCCCGGTGCTGACCGCCGGTTGTGTTCTGCAGTTGCAGGATGCGTTTTCCCGAGGGCTCCTGAAGCCAGGCCTCAACGTGGTGCTTGAGGGGCCGAAGAAGGCAGTGAACGACGTGGTGAGCGGGGCGCCGGGTCGGGGGTACTCAGCCGTGGGATGCGCATCAGGCTCTGTTGTGCTTAGGAGACCTGAGTTCTTCTCCCGGGAAAGACGCAGCCTGTGCGTTGCCAAGACAGTTACCTGTCCGAGTATTGGGGGTTAGCGCTTTGTCCGTGGGCCTATTCCCTTCTCGTGAGCGCGGTGTTTGAATTTCCTAGAATGGCCTGAAGCAGTGTTTGGCTGAATTCAAGCGGGATCTGGAATGGGTTGAAAGGCTTGATGTGACCCTGGGTCCGGTGCCGGAAATCAGTAAACCTCAGTCAACATCTCAGAGCAAGGATCAGAAAGCTGTTGATCCAGAAGATGACTTCCAGCGGGAGATGAGCTTGTATGTTCGTTTTCAAATGTGGGAGAAGTTGTGGGTCCCTGTGCTAGAGAGTAGGGAGAGGAGGAAAGTACACTTCTGAAGTTATAAGCCCGGGAGTAAGGACAACGGCTTCTTTTGACTAAAAAGATCTAGGAGATTTTCCCTGGTTGAGAAGAGCCCCTTGGTCCAGCAGTCGCAATTGAAAATTGTTTGTTTTGAAATATGCAGTTTTAAGGTTTTTTTGTGCATTCAGTTATTGCAACAAGCATTTACTTGGGAGGTTCTTACATGAACTTTTTAAAGTGACTACGCAAGAATTAATAATTGGTATTAGTTTGTAAGTTAATGGGTACTTTTAGAGTGGTCATTTTTTTAAATTACTAATTTGTTAGCAATGCTCTCCCCCTTTTTAAAAAAAGTTTGCAGCTAAATTTCTCCCAGATACCGAGTTAGTGAGATTTTATTAGTTTTTGTTTGTGTGTTTGTTCTTGCTGGTGGAGGTCGGATGTTGAGAGTCTTTCTGATCCTGGCTAACTCATGAGACGCAGTGAGAAGGAGTGTAAGTCCTCGCTCCCGGAGCTTTTTTCACACCTTGTCCTGCATCCTCAGCTACCGCCAGGCCCAGGCCGCAGTGCTTGCGGTGTTACCCCGCCTCCGTCAGCTCAAAGTCCCTACCAAGAGGCCCGATGATTATTTTGCAGAGATGGCCAAGTCCGACCAGCAGATGCAGAAGGTAAGAAACAAGGTTTTCTCTGGAAAGTAGAGGCTTCATCCTTAAGTGTATTCAGCTGGCTTATCTCCCATAATGTTTTAAAAAAGCCTGAGCCCAATAATAGGTAACTAGTTGTCACAGGACAATTATTATCTCGATTGTCTACTTCACACTTAGGCCAGTCATCACCAATTAGATAAATAGAAGGATGACTTTTTCCTAATTTAAACAATCAAGGAGAGGACAAGTACTGTAAGAAGTGTGGTCCCCGAGGTAAAGATGGCCTTTTGCATTTCCTAACTGGCATGGTCATGGCATGGTGTGTAGAAGAAACAGTTCTTGTCCCACCATTGCCAGGGGTCTGGGCTATAACCTGTAGATAGTTTCTTTTCTCTGGGCCTCAGCTTTCTCTTTTGTAAAATGAGGGATTAATATATGCCTCAGATGTAGTGTAATTTAGAGTTAGGTAGAATTTGGTCCTCAGTTAACTTTGGGCGGAAGAGAATTGTCAAAATCTAATCGAAGATATATTTAAATAGTTCCCTTGGGTCTCAAGCTGGATTTTTGGGACTTCTTGTCTCGGTGGCACGCAGGGAAGCTAATCTAGAGATGAGCCCAGACACATCTCTGTACATTCACATTGACACCTGCTCCTCCTTTAACTGAAATGTGTATGTTTGACGGAAGAGGTTAGGTACCTGACATCTGTTTGAATTTTTGATGTGTGTGTGGTATATTGGAGAAGGGAACTGAGGCTGCATGCTGGTTTAACCTCAGTTTGCAGACAGTAGGGATGGAGGGAAGTTAGTTTTTCCTGGCAAAGCTATAAGCAGACAGTTCTGTATAATGGAACAGACGGCACCCTCAGAGTGGGAAGGCCACTTTCCAGTTCGAGCTCCACCACTGATACTTTTGATATCTTGGACAAAGCGCTCAGTCTTTGGGCCTTATTGTCCTTATGTGTAAAACACAGGCTTTGGACTAGATGATTTACAAGGTTCCTTTGAACTCCACAGTTTGCGGAACTGGGACTATCTGTTTCCTGCTCCAGTGCCCCCTAAGTACTGGTCGTTCAGATTCAAATAACATAAGCTGACAACATTTTGTGTTTCAGATTCGACAGAAGCTACAGGCTAAACAGGTGGCCATGGAGAAGTCGGAAAAGGCCAAGCAACTGAGAGCATTGAGAAAATACGGAAAGAAGGTGAGAAGGAAGTTGCTGGAGTGGGCTGACCGGGTGTGTTTGTCAGGCCAGATTGCCATGGTCTGATTTGGTTCCATGCTCTGTGTGTGTTTGCTCGTGTGTTTATTATCTCACAGTGGTGTGTGTGCTGTCTTTCCTTGAGCAGTCTTTCCTGACACCACTGTGTCACCAGAAGTAGTGTGGTAACTGCCGGTGAGTCCGTCACCTCTCTGGGCTCCATTCTGCACGTCGGTACAGTGAAGAGTTGGGTCCACATCAGTGATTTCCAAACCTGACCTCACAGCAGAACCACCTGGGGGAATCTTTCAAACCAGCTTTCTAGGCTTCAAAATCTCTGGGAATCTGTGTATATTTTCTTCCCTTCCCCCAAAAGAGATGATTCTGACATGCATCCTGGTTTGAGAATCATTGGCCTAAATGGTTGTAAAGTCCTCAAGGGAATCGTATTATTGATTGTCATCCCATCTGAGAGAAAAAATGGCACCTGTGTGTTTGAAAACTATGAATACCTGAGTTCTAATGTAAAACCAGAGCAGGCATACCATGGAAGTTTTCTTGGTTTTTCTTCTTTATTTCATGGTCATACAAGAAAGAAGATTATAGGAATTAAAGTTAGGGTTATGGGAAGAAATGAGTCTAAGGAGGATCATCATGGGTGTTAAGGCTTTGTCAACATTTTGGACATAAACACTTGTGATCTGGGGTGCTGAGCTGCAGGCCACATTTGAATCCCCAGCAGAGTAAAAGTAGATTAGCATCCTGTCCTCTGCAGAAGGGCAGCCGTCGACTTATTGGATTGATCTGGTGGTCGATGGCTGAGATCAACTCAAAGACATGGGCAGTTGGTTTAACACGATTTATCAAAAGCAAAGAATTCAGTTGGGCCTGTTTGCTCCATGTTTCTAATTTGAGGAAACCTCAGCACAGTGGTTCTCAGCTGGGATAATTTTGCATACCAGGGAACATTTGGCAGTGTCTGGAGACATTTTTGGTTGTCATATCTTGGTGAGGCGTGTGCTACTGGCATCTAGTGGGTAGAGGGCAGGAATGCCACTCAACATCCTACAATGCCCAGGACATGCTGTCCACCCCGCAACAAAGAATTATCCCATCCAAACTGTCAATAGCGTTGAGACTGAGGAAGCCTGCCTTACCATGTAAGCATCTCCTTTGGTCCTTAAAGCTTTTTTTCTTTTTTGTTTTTTGGGGGGATTGTTTTTTTCAGTTGGTACTTTCATGCCTAGTAACAGTAGGTTAGATATTTAATCTGCCCAAGTGTAATGAATGGGGACCATGGGATGTAGACCTAAACGTGATTTGCTACCGTTTTGTAGGCAGGATTGTGTAATGGGGTAAGAGTGCAGACTGCCTGGGTGTGAATCTCAGCTCTGCACTTTCTCGCTTTGTGACTCAGGCCAGTTACTTAACCTCTCTGTGCTTCACTTTTGGTGGTGTTGAGAATTTCTACTTCCCTGGGTTGTTGAGAAGATAAACTGAGAATATACTTAGAGCCTTAGCATAGTTTTGGCACATAGTCCGGCAGTGGTGGTATTATCACAGTGTTGTTCCTGAGAGAGTGTAGACACTGGCTGTGATGGTCTGGAATGGGTATAACAGTCCTGTGTCCATGTCCCCAGGTCCAAACAGAGGTTCTTCAGAAGAGGCAGCGGGAGAAAGCGCATATGATGAATGCTATTAAGAAATACCAGAAAGGTCAGTATATCTCCCTCCTGAGCATGGAGGGAGCAGCAGTACTGGGTCCCTTAGGGTCAGTTCTAACACAGAGTCCCCTGGAGCCTTGATTGGTTGGGAACTGTTGGGGCTGAGGTTTGGGATGGTGTGGGGAGCAAGATGTGCCTCTTAAAATCAATTCAGTAAGTAACACCCTTCTTTTGAACTTTAAGCTTTTAAAACGCGATGGCACTGATCAAAGTACTTCTTTCCTCCCAGGCTTCTCGGATAAACTGGATTTCCTTGAGGGAGATCAGAAACCTGTGGCCCGTGGCAAGAAGGAAGGAGCTAAAGGCCAGCAGATGAAGAAGGGGTATGGAGTGTTTTTGTTTTGTTTTGTTTTGTGATGGGTCCAGGGCCAGCAGCTCCCAAGTACAGCAGGGACCTCCACAAGGAGCGGCCTCAGAGTTGAGAGACTGTAGCTGCTGCTGCCTGTGGCCAAGACTTACAGGACCGTGGGATAGTCCTTTTAGCCTTTGAAGACTAAAGTGAGGTGGTTTACGGATTTGGCATATTTTGAGTGAATACTCAGTAAAACTTGGTTCCCGTCTCACAGTGTGATGATTAAGAGCACATACCTGGGGGTCAGATCCAGACTCTGCCCTTCATTGGGAGGGGAGCTTTGAGCAAGTTACTTTACCTATCTAGATGTTAATTTCCTCATCTGTGCCTCATAGTAGTATGAAGATTAAAAGGGATTCCTGGACACCAGGTCTGGGGAAATGATAATTTCTGTGTGACATAGTAAATGCTATGATAGAGGCATTTGGGGAGTAGCATGGAAACACATTTTGGAAATATCTGACACGGTCCAGGGATGGCTTCCTGGAAGAGGGTCCCGCTTCAGCTGAGTCTGAAGGATGAGTAAGAATTAACCAGGAGACTAGGAGAGACGGAGGTTTGCGGAAGAAGGAAGAACACGAATGAGCAAAAGCATAGAGATGAGAACAGCAGATTTGTGTGAGGAACAGCAAACATTTGGTATCACCGGGAATTCAGTGTGAGGCAAGAAGGGTGAGATATAGCTAGAGGGGCCCTGGGCCGAGTCACACGCGTGCTTGTTTGCCCGGTTGAGAAGCTTGGGCTTTATCCAGTAGGCGTGGGAGACACTGATGGGCTTTACTCGAAATAATGAGCAGGTCATATTCATGCTTTTAAAAGATTACAGTGGTCCTTGTGTATATGATGGACTTGAGGGAGGCAGGGAAATTGATTAGGGGGCTATTATGAAAGTCCAGAGAGCAGTGATAATGACCTGAAAGTGGTAATGGGGGTAGCGAAGAGAAAATGAAGAAATATTCACGGGGTTAAATTAGCAGGATTCAGTAATTGGGTTGGGTGTAGAGAGTGAAAGAAGGAAGAGCCAAGGCTGACTCCCAGGTTTCTAGCCTGGGTGGCTGAGCAGATGGTGGCACCACCAGCCTCAAGTCAGGCACACATCCTGGAAGTGAAGCCAGTCTAGGAAGCGAGGTGACGTGCTGAATCTGAGATTCCCATAGAGTGACCAGTTTTAAAATTTATTACATTTAAATGTTAACTGCATGTAATAAGTTGAGAGGACTAGAAACAACTGAGGATAAGTTCAGCAAGATTTAGTTAAAATAGAATGCTTTCCAAAGGTCACTGGTGAGCCACAGATAGATGTGGGTCCTTTCCTGGTTCTTGCTTTGTTGGTTTTCCTGCTGTAGTAGTTAAAACCCTAAATAGACGAGCTTGCCTGGGGAGCTTGTAGAGTAAGAATGTAGGGCTAAGGATGAGATTCTGGGTACAGTGGCATCTAAGGGGCTTTGCATAAAGACAAGAAACTGGGGCTCTTGTTGGGGCATAAGACCCGTCAGGATTTACATTGCTGGCGGGTGAGCTGTAAGACTGCTGCTTTTCCAGGCCCAGTGCCAAAAGACGCTATAAAAACCAGAAGTTTGGTTATGGTGGAAAGAAGAAAGGCTCCAAGTGGAACACTCGTGAGAGCTACGATGATGTATCCAGCTTCCGGGCCAAGACAGCTCATGGCAAGGGCCTCAAGAGGCCTGGAAAGAAAGGGTCAAATGTAAGTGAGCCGGGGATCCGGTGAGGGGCTGGATCTGCCTCCTCTCCCACCCACACCCACTACTCCCTTTCTTTCCCTGTGCATCCTGACCCTGGGCAGAAGGCCATGCTGCTGTGTGACCACATGTGGTGTTTCTCTTTCTGTAGAAGAGACCTGGAAAACGGACAAGAGAGAAAATGAAGAGCAGAGCACGCTGAGCAGCATCTTTGAAAACAAAGAAGCAAGAAAAAGGAATGAAGACTTGGGATTTCATGATGCAGTGGGCTCCCTTCTGTTGGTTTCTTTTTATAAAAAATTCTGTCAATAAACTAAGGAAAAATTTTCAAAGAGACGTATATTCTTGGTTAAAAACTCAGGACTGAAAGATTTAGAAGTTACTTTTACATATTAAATCGTATTGCTATTTATTGATAATAATTTAGACTTCAAGTCCAGGCGGCTTCCTTTTATGATGGATGAAGATGTAACTTATACCCCTCCCAATTCCTCTCCCCCCTCCTTCCGGATAGTGGTGTCATGATTTTGGATAAATCAGTAATCAGCGTTTATATCACTATGGTTATTTAAATCCCATTCGCTGCAGGGCTAGCTGTGCTGGGATAAAATTTCCTTTGTGGTACAGCTTTTGGTTTTTCCTTGAGTTGATTATCACCTTTTGTTTTTCTATGTGCCTAATTTTCCTTCTGTATTATTCTTTTTTCTTAGATGCTTCATCATTTATCCACCTGTCATATGGCCGTTACCCTGTCTCTTTTTGACCTTCTAGATTGGATCTACTATTTTCTGGATGCCGTATTTTCCTGTCTTAGCCTATGCCTTCTTTTGCCATATACCACTTTCTACCTAGGAAAGGGGACACAGAAGGTGAATTTATCTCCTTGCGTTTCTGCAGTTGCCTTTCGTTTGGCTGCTGTGACTTTTCCTGAGAGTGTTGCGGGCGCTGCTGCTGTGTCTCACAGCCTCTTGTGTTGTCACTGAGAAGTCAGCACCATTCTCCTTCTCATTCTTCTCTCTGGAGGTTTTGCTTCTCCTGGCGATCTGAAATTCCGTGATGACATGCCTTGGTGTGGGCCTCTTTTCATTCTTTGATTAGGGTATTTGGAAGGATTCAGGTTCTTCAGTTCTGGGAAATTTTATTTGATAACCTCCGCCTTATTTTCTTTGTTCTAATTCTGGAATTTCTGGTAGTCAAAGTTTTTTATTTTTGGTGAGGAAGATGGCCCTGAGCTGACATCTGTGCCAATCTTCCTCTGTTTCGTATGTGGGACGCTGACACAGCATGGCTTGATGAGTGGTGTAGGTCTGCAGCTGCGATCCAAACCCACAAATCCCAGGTTGCCATAGCGGAGTACGTAGACTTAACCACTATGCCACCTGGCCGGCCCCGGTAGTCAAATTTTGAACCACTTCTGCCCATCTTCTAAATTTGTGTTAATTTTAGTTCTGCTTTAGGGGAAAGAGTTGATTCTTTTTTCTAGTCATTTTATTGAATACTTATTTTAGCTTTCATTTTTCATTTTATCCCCCACAAGTTCTTTTTATTTTTTTTTTTAAAGATTGGCACCTGAGCTAACAACTGTTGCCAGTCTTCTTTTTTTTTCCTGCTTTTTCAACCCAAAGCCCCCCGGTACATAGTTGTGTATTTTAGTTATGGGTCCTTCTAGTTGTAGCATGTGGGCTGCCACCTCAGCATAGCTTGATGAGTGGTGCCATGTCCATGCCCAGGATCCAAACCAGTGAAATCCTGGGCCGCCGAAGCGGAGCACGTGAACTCAACCACTCAGCCACGGGGCCGGCCCCCCCACAAGTTCTTTATTCTCTAATTGCCCTTTTTTCATATCATTTTGCTCTTACTCTAGGTATATTGTCAAGTCATATCTCTCAGAATATGAATTATAGTTTTGGTTTTTTAAGGAGTTTTCTGTTCCTTTCATTTGGTTTGCTCAAGTTTCCCCCGCCCCTCCCAGTGCGTTTGGTCTCCCTTTTTCATGGTGAGCTGTGGAAGTTAAGAGCACGGACTCTGGGGCCAGACCGCTGGGCAAGACACCTGGCTCTGCTACTTTTTTGCTGTTTGACCTTGGTCAAGACAGTTCTGTGCTTTGCCATCTCTATATAAACATGATAAAAGAATCCGCCAGATGGGGTTCCTGTCAGCCTTAACTGAGTTAATGGATGTGAAATGCTTAGAACATTGCCTGCTGTGCAATAGGCATATATGCCTGCGTAGGATTATTTTGCTGGAGTGGCTTTCCTTAATGTCTGATCATCCTCGGTGGTACACACTGAGAGACTCACGTGCTGGCTGGAAGCTATGCATAGGTTGGGCATGGGTGGGCAGGCCACTTTACACATTGGGCTTTCCTCTGTGTGGATAGGATGGGAAGTCAGTTTACCTGCCCTCCTCCCTCTCTCCATTCCTGTTTAGAAACTGAGGCTACAAATATCTGAGAGCTATATATTCTTAACCAGAAGAAATGACTTATTTCCATATTGTTTCCTTTCTGGTAGCATCATTGGTACTTGAAAAAGCACATTTCTGGTTTCATATACTGAGTTTCTAGCACAAAAAAAGGAATTTCTTGTAAATTAGTTTCAATTAAAATTCTGAGCAAACAGGTCATGTTTTCAGAAGACCAAAATATTTTACCCTGGCCTGTCTCTGACAATCTGTACAATATTAGTGAATGGGGTAGTGTAAAGTAATTCAAATATGGAGTCTCGGAATCTGTTAGGCACTTTGAATTATGTGTGGAACTTATTGAGAGTTTTAAGAAAGGGGAACACAGGTTAACAGTTGTTCACACTGGTAAGGCCAAAAGTAAATTATTAATGCTAAGTACTTTTAAAAGATTTGAAAACTATATAACTTCCTTGCTTTTATCTTTTTCTTTTTTGTATAGCAATTGAAATCAGTTCCCTTAATTGCATTAGAGCTCATTTACATCACTTCCTCTCCTGTTCTAGCCCTCAAAATAACGCACAGTCAGGGTGCAGGCAGTATTACCCTCCTTTTGCTTTAAAATGCAATTCCTTGCCTTGAAAGATAGGTAGGAACCTAGCAGTTCCCAGTACAGAGTACAGGCTCTTCTTGCTTTGCGTGGTTCCAGTATGCGTGGATTTCAGTCATCAAGGTGCATGCAGTTCATTAACAGCAGTTTCTCAACACCTCACATTTCAGTTCCCAAAGTATCGTTAACTGAGTAATTGCAGAAAGTAGAAACTTTGTGGCTAGCCCTTTAGTCCACGAATCACTACATAAATAATAGATGCATAATGATTAGTGACCAATCGTCCCTTCTCTCAAAGTCTGTCCGTGACTGCTCACTGCCCCTGTTCCTTGGTGCACACACAGGTGGCACAGTGCAGTTGTGTGGCCTCCTTGTCTCCCAGCAATAGACCCACGTGGCATTTTACAGAAGTATAATTGAGGGAATTGACCAGCAAAGATGGAAATGCAGCAATGAAGTGAAAAGTGATAAAGTTGGAAGTAAAATTTGAATAGCACACAAATAGAGTTGTAGGAGAAGCAGCTGACGAGGCAGTGGTGCTGGCCCTGCTGCTCCTCTCAAGCCTGGAAATGCAGCCAGGGAAGGAGTGACTGTGAACTGACCAATGTCATGAGGAAAGTGATGAAAAGATGACAGTGTCCCGGAGGAAGTGACACTGGCAGAAAACTGCACACTGAAGGGACTCTTGGAGATGTTTCGTGACGTTGAAAGTACAAATGATGAGGTGTTGGAAGTGAATCCAAACTTAGACAGGAGTAAGACAATTTGCCGAGGCGTAGGAAGTGCTTGCTCCATATCATGTACAAGAAAAAGGCAGGCACAGCTTTTACAAAGAAGTAAAGCACTTGATTCTCAATGTTTTTAATGTTTTAAATTATAGTCTACTAAGTAAATGTTTATTTTTTCATTTTCTTGTGCATTTAGCAGTAAGAGCTTTTAATTGACAAAATTTTACAAATTTGTTCGTCGTCGTGAATATTGGGAGGAGAGCACAAAACGATTAGTTGATATACAGAGCTGTGTGTCTAATTTTATGATCTGGTGTAAATTATAAAATAGATTAGGTCCTTGATTCTTTTCATCACAATGTTGTTAGCTCTGAAAGTGGTCATTGTGCTCCTGCAGGTCTGTTCCTTTAAATAGAGCAACCACATTTCTTCTGCTTTCACCTCCTTCCTAACATCACCAAAAAAAAAAAGAGAGAGAAAGCTGTTACTTTCTCCTCAAGTCATCTAAAAAAAGTCTATGAGGGAGTCCTTGCTATGCACAGTAGTGAAGGTGGGGGGAGCGCACACCGAGCTTCCACACCCTCTCCACGCATGCCCTCCTCCCAGGACCTTGATGTGTTCACTAACTTGGAAGTTTTCCAAACCCTGTAGTTTAGGGGTTTTTATGGAGGTTTCACTATGTAGTGTGATTGATAAACCATTGGCCATTGGTGATTAACTCAATCTCCAGCCCCTCTACCTTCCCCAGAGATTGGACGGTGGAGTGGAAAGTTCCAAGTTTCTGATTGAGGCTTGGTCTTTCTGGCGAGCAGCCCATGTCCTGAATCTATCTAGAGGCTGCCAAGAGTCGCCTCATAAGAACAAAAGGCGCTCCTATCACGGGTATCACTAAGGAAATTACAGGGGATTTGGGAGCTCTGTGTCAGGAACTGGGGACAGAGACCAAATATCTATGATATCACAGGTCCCCCCCTGCCTGGTCTTTGACCACGGATCTCTCATAGCAAAAGGATTCTAATAGTTAAAGAGATACTGGCACATTTCTAGATTCTGACATCATCAATAATAATTAGTCTAGTCCATCGTATTGTATGAAAATGTCTCCCAGGGCGAGTCCACTCCAGTTTGCAGGCTTCCATTCGATGGGGGGTTCCAAAAAACCAGGAGTGGTCTCAGCAATATATGGCTTCACCCTTTCAGGCATAACTCACGAACAGCCAGATGGAAGAGACACCAAAGAGCAAGTCATGGGAGGGAGGGTGCACGGAGCTTCTATACCCCCCCTGGGTACACCCTCTCCCAGCACCTCCATGTATTCACCAGCCTGGAAGTTCCCTGGCTCTTTCTTTATAGAACCTTCAAATGGTACTCTGGGGGCGGTCTTTTCTTTAGAGCCATTTTGCTTTTCCAGAGAGGAACACTCCAGCTTCAAATCCAGGGTAAAAATGCAATATATGTGAGCTAGCGGTCCAACTTTCCTTTTGCAGATTTTCATTGATTGTTTTCAGCCTCACACCTCACTCCTACCCCATGTTTCACTTAGTGTCCCTGAGCCCTGGGCTTTTCCCATTTCTCCAAGAATAAACCTCCA